ATACAGTATCTCTATATATATAGCATCTATATATATATATAGTATCTTTACATATATAGCATCTGTATATATATATAGTATCTATAGATACATATATATAAGTATCTATAATATAAATAGTATCTATATATATAGTATCTATAGATTTATAGATATATATATATAGTATCTATATATATATAGTATCTACTATGTATATAGCATCTATAATATATATATATATATAGTGTCTATAATATATATATATAGTATCTATGTAGTATCTATAAAGTAGCTATATAGAATCTATATAGTATCTATATATATATATATACGTAGTATTTATGCAGTATCTATATACAATCTATATAGAATTTATATAGTATCTATATATTATATCAAATCCCATATCTACCAGATGATATCAAACATATGGGATGAATGGGTATATATATGTATATATAATTAGCTCATAACAGAAGTTTTGACCCACCAGTAGTGGGAATCACAATGAAAATCACCTGGATGTATTACGGGCAATTTAATATCAGAGAAAATGGGGAATGTAATCAAGCAATCATGCGGATACAATTAGCGAGAATAGTGGCAATTACCTTGTAATTATGTAATAATTAAAACCTTTGACCAATGACCATGGATCATGCTAAGAACAACACGGGGTTTAAGAATAAAAATAGTCACAACCAGTTGAGTACCAAAGATAGCTAAATCATCAAACAAAAAATCGGGTCTTGATCTGATATAGTCAATCAGAATGGTGGCAAGTGATTGTGAGTACCCAACTTGTGGTCTTTCTTCATTGTGTATACGTATTGGTAACCCCATGTGGTAAACCCAATTGCATTCATAAACCCAATTGGGGATTGTTGATGAAATTTATTTTCGAATTTACCACATGGGAAAGCTGTGTTTTTCCAAATAGCTGCCTTGGATTTCAATCTGTAGTTTCAAAATGTGTTCTCCAATACGAGCAGTCTCAAATAGCTTGCGTTTGAATCTACATGGAGTTTCAAACAGCAACGCACCAGGGATGAGGAGGAAATGTGATGAAACCTAAGAATAGGGATGATTGTATATACTCTATGCAACGTGACCTGCAACAAAGGGGAAGATGTTGGAAGCAGCAACTCTGGCTTGGTTGAATCCCATCATATCCCAGTGTATGATAGAAAAAATGCTGGCCTTTTTCAAGTCATTCTACCTGAATTTCCCATCCAAAATCAGGCTTTCCCCATCTTAAACATCACCACTTTGCCCTACCAGAGTAGTCAGCTCCATGGCTGAAAAATTCCCCAGCACTTCGATCATCCCATGGATTTTTCCCATGAAAATCCCATTGATTTTGACATTGATAGCATAAACAAATTACAATCCCGTAGAAAAATCCACTTCATGGATTATTCATGGTTAATTATCATTTCAACTAAGTGGATGTTTGAAAAAATGGGGAAAAAAAAACAAGATACCGGAGATCCCCCATCAAGCGCCTCCGCTTGCAAGCTCTTCAGCCAGTCCTGCCGGTCGGACAGTAGCACGAAGGGTCGCACCTGACCATTCTGCTGTCGGAGGGGATGAACCCAGTTCTGGCCATATTCGGGTGGGGAAAATATGGCAAAACAATTGCGGTTTAAAGCATGGGATTGTTGTTGGAAGCCTATTTTCAGACAACCCAATATGATGGTATGTCTTTATCAGCACTAATCATGATGGTTTGTTTTCATGGTTGGCAGTATGATAGCTAGCAACATATCAGAGATATCACTGAAAATCATCCAAGTGAGATATCCATTTATAGTTGATTTACCCATTAAAAAAAGGTGATTTTCCATAGTGATGTTAGTTTTACCAGAGGCTATCTCCAGCAAAAATCTGGAACATCGCCATGATCCGAGACTGGCACCTGCAGCTTCTGCAAGGACTCGGCATCCATGTCACCGACTGCATCCTGTGGCGGGTTGACATGTGAAAAAAGGCCAAGTGGGGTGGGTTGAATCCTACCCATGGAAAAACTTGGGAATTGGTTGTTTCATGAAAATTAATTTGCTAAACACTACTCAACCGTCGATGGTTGTCCGTAAATCATTTGAGCCAATCAGAAATATACCGGGAACATCACTGGTATCCATTGGATCCACGGCAAGATAGGAGAAACGAACCATTTGAGACCCAGCACTCACAATAACATGGCTTTTCGAAATTCTGAATTCCAAAGTATTGGCCCACCCGCTTCCAGAACTGTGCCTAACAGTCATACCTACAAAGCTGAATGGACATGTTTGTCCCCCTTCGCATTCATTTCATGGCCATTCCACTCACTATTTGGAGGATCATCCCACTTCAAAATTGGTTTATAAGCATTGTTAATAAGTCTGACAGTAAGTCTGACAGGAACTCTGACAGTAGTAAGTCCCAAAGTGCTGTTACCCTACTTGAAAACTGGGGATTTCACTAAACCCGCAGCCCCAGGGCCCGTTTTGATCACCTTGGGATCCATTCCCAAAGGCGGATCAGCGCGGAAGATGCTGTCTTGAAGCCCAAAAAAAGATCAGATGGAAAGGAAAAAAGGTGAAAAAAAGTGGACGCGATGTGGTTATTGGTGATGAGTGATGGTCAATGATGGCAAATAATGCTTCATGATGCACATATACCTGGGATTATACGGGTAAATGATAATCATGCACTAACCTGAAATGTTGAGCTATATTGGGATAATTCCCTTATACATTCACCATCATTCCAGTGAGGGAGAACAGTGAGGTCGATGTAATTTACCCAGAAAGATGCCTTTCAACGCCAAGAATGAACATTTAAATTTGATCTAGCTGAAGATATTACCCTCTGGTAAACTAACATAGCTATGGAAAATCACTATTCTTAATGGGTAAATCCAATATAAATGGCAATTTTCAATAGCTATGTTAGTTTACCAGAGGGTAGAGTCCCATAATCAATCATGGCTTGTGGACAACGGCCTGGAAGTCGAGTTGGAAACCAACGACCCACATGGGCATTGATCGACTATCACATCTTGATACATCTTGTGATATCGCATGTGGCTATGGGTCAAACTGATATGGGGATGGGTCAAAAACCCTGTACCCCTGGTGAACATCAAAATAACTGGTAAATGGATGTTCATCCCCTAACAAGTTGTATCTATAGGTATTGATCTATAGCCATATTCTACAATTACTAGAACACTTTCTATACCAAAAATGACCAATGTCGGTCCATAAAGGTACCTCAAATATCACCCAGGACCAATATCGATCCAGGACCAATCCCCACGGATATCCCCGGGTGTCCCCCGACTCTTCAAAGAAATCCGGGAAGACAACTGCGGCGCACGAGTCAAAGCTGGGAGAACGTGTCAGCATCAAAGCTTGGATCGAAAAATGGAGAAAAACATTCCAACAACAAATCTGGTTGGTGGTTTCAACCCCTCTGAAAAAGATTAGTCAGTTGGGATTCTTCCCAATATATGGAAAAATAAAAACAATATTCCAAACCACCAACCAGAAATGCACCCGGGCTGATATAATGGGGAAGATGATGAATCAGCCCATTCGAAGAACTCCCCAAAACCTGAAGTACTGCTGTGCCAATCAGGTGCCACCGCAACTTGCCATCTCGCACGATGGGTCAAGATCTCATACACCTCAAGTAAGTAGCCACAATTTATTAGTTCAACTCACAAATGTGACCCATACCCAGAGTTTGGGCGCTCATAAATACACCATCAGAGTTTTCTGGACGACCTGCAACCGCCACCGCAGCCTGATGTGAAGTATGCCACCGAGACATCCAGATGGGAATCCATGTGCAGAAGCCATGACAGGGTCATGACCACCTGCCATACAGGGGCTGAGATTGGATGGTGATCTGCAAAGGATGATCAACGAAACTGAGGCAATTGATGTTCTATTTCCACTGGAAAAGGCTTGTGTATGCATGGCAAAAAAAAAAACAATATTGCTTTAGACCATGTAATGTTTTTAGGAAATTTTGCCTTTTTGCGCGCCCACAACAAGCCTTTCTGTTGATTTTTTGGGGTGTTTTTTTTTAAAGAAAAACAACACTCTTGAGACTCTTGGCAGGTTAAATCCTGATATTTGGGATGGTCAAATCTGGATGTTTGGTATTTCAGATCCTTGAATGATTTTGGCGGATTAAGTCAGATCCCTCCGATTCCTATTTAAGAGTGGCTTACCCTCCGGCAAACAAAGCTAGCACTGGAAAGGAGAAATTTGTATCCCCAACCAATGATTAAGCCAAAAAACACTGGTGAATAAGTATAAATAAGATTAAATAAGTAAGTACATGATGTTGCTGTGATAAATGGGGACTGCCCATTGCAAAATGAGCTTACCTGAAATTGCCCAAAGGACGGACAGCGCACCAAGGGAAAGTTCCGCGTGCTCACGTAGAACGGAAGGGGCCAGAGCCTGTCACGGACGTTTCTTGGTGGAATGGGAATAATGGGAATCTGATGTGATCAAGCAAAAATGCTAGGGTATAACTTGTAGAACTTGCATAACTACCCATGGCTGGATTCCAACCAGTTCATTGTTATAAGATGTTATAAGATATGAAAATATTCTGGGTCAAGTGGTACCCTCATTGTGGTTGACCCATACAATGCCATACCCACATTCCCATGTCAGATCCCGATGATTGAGAAAAATCATATGGAAACCCAAAATGTTAGGTGAACTCACATCCAAATAGCTGCTGTTCATCCTCCCAAAAAAACATGGGATGTGGTTTTTTCATCGATTCCCATCGAATCCACCATTTTTTGTTGATGAAATCATGTACCCTCTGGTAATTTAACATAGCTATGGAAAATCACCATTTTTAATGGGAAAACTCACTATAAATAACGATTTTCAATAGCTATATTGACATAACCAGAGGGTAAAATCCACCATGTTGGTCTCATGTTGCTGCGCACCCTCCGGAAATTCGCCCCTTGGGCCCCGATTTTTTTTTCCAGGCTCTGCTTCACCGCTTCCAGCGACCGAATGGCCCGGGTCAAGTAGTCACCTGGCGATGGAGATCCGGCCGGGAACTGGCAAATCTTCCCGTGCGTTCCCTTTTTTCATTGGAAAATGGATAGGGAAATCACCTACTATATAGTATTACAAATTACAGTAGCGATATCATGGTATACAATAGATTCAATATGTACCAATATGTGGGAATGCGTCGACACACCGGCGGATCTGTAGCCCGTAGGGAGCAAAAATAATCTGGAGATGATGGATTTTTCGCTTACGAGCAGGAGACTCTTAGACTCTTAGAAGGATCTTCATGGTGCTATCTCATGTACACATCGCTGTCACTCTCCCATCATCCTCAAGAGAGACTGAACTTTTTGATTGTCAAAACCAAAGTTGTCTAGCTCAAGTTATTGATGGTTAATCAGTCTTCATCACGATTATACTCTCGTAATCAACTGGCACAGGAAAAAGCCCCACTTGTCGATTTCCCAGCTAGCCATGTTGGATTACGAAGGATAGATATATCCCATTAGTGGAGATAGATATATCCCATTAAGTGGAGTCGATTTCCCAGCTAGCCATGTTGGATTACGAAGGATAGATATATCCCATTAAGTGGATTAATTCATGTGGATTATAATCCCATTCTTTTCCCATCAATCTCGATTTTCCCATGTTTCCATTGGAACCACATCCCGACCTCCAAAAAGGTTGAAATGATTCAGCTGGTGATAGGCGCGGTAGAGCGGCCTGCGCTCCTCAAATCCAGGATCCTCAACAATGTGCTGTCTGTAGCCTCAGGGCGCAGGGATGGTGCCTCCCAGTGAAACGTTGGTTTATGTTACCCCAACTAGTTCGATATCTCTAACATAAACCCCGATATAGCGAAATGTTAGTTATAGATCGTTAAACCAACTTTGCTACCTTGGATGGATTGGTTTTGTTTCGGGCAAAATCCACACAAAAACCTGGTTTTTACACCCGGATGTAACCGCCGGATGTAGGGGTGCAACATGTGAATTATCTCTTCAACCAATTCTGCGACCTAAGCAATGATCAGTGATGATCCCTCACTTACAAATGATTTTCCCAGTAAAACCTCCATTTACAAGGGATTTTCCATTGCTACGTTTGATTATCAGAGGGTAATCCTTGGTTAGAACCAGCGAAAAAACAATGGCAGGTCGTAAAGCCTCGATGGGATCATAAGGTTCGTTGCATAGGCTATATAGGAAAGTAGAACTAATAAACTAATGATGCTTCTACACTCACCAGTTGAATGAAGTTTTTTGCTAATCCAGTCAGGTCGCGGTTTTACTATGCCAGTCAGATGGTGTTTTGATGTGAAAAAAGGACAGCAGGAGACCTATATGGCTATGGGCGGTGGAAACCAGGGCTTTCTGCCGACTGGTCACCTCTCCAAAAGTCATCTGACAGAGATCCAGGGCGAGACATGCCCCACTCGGCCTCAACCGCGTGAACGCGTTGTGTGCTGGGTGGGTGGTTTCAACCAATTCTGAAAAGTATGAATCTGGCTGAATTGTAGCAATTCTCTAAGCTTAAAAATAGCTGAGGTCACTATAATTTATCAAATGAATTTGGGGATCCACCCAATGAAAAACAAACCGAGCATTTGGCATGATGTTTACCACTCACTTACATCCATTTATGCTTATATTGGAGAGTGTAATTATATTGGAGAGTGTGATTATGAAAGTGGGCTTTACCACATTAGAGTCCGTTGGGTAAATCATCCCATTAATGGAACATAACCACCAAATCCCAGAGATTCAAAAGCACGGCACCATGGATACCGAATTCTATATTAGTATACGGTATACGTGAATGTATGTATATGTATACATACATGTACACACACAGCTATATGAATATAAATATGATATAAACACATTATATACTGTATATATATATAAATATCAGTACTGTTATTATCCTTATCATCATTATTATTACTATTCTTATTGCTATTAAGTTTATTATGTCATGCAATATAATATAACTAGAGTATGATCGTAATCATGATCAACGCCGATTATCATACTTACTAGTAAGAAAGGGATTCCCAGTTCATGGATGGTGATGATACATGGTAGTATAACCCCCGAACTACTCATCAACGAACAATCATTTATCAACTTCATCCCGATGTGTTTGAAGTTTGAATCATATTAATTTCCCACACAATAGAAAAACATTTAATATTTTAATATATAATATATAAACCATGGTTGAAACCCAAGTTACATAATATATATTTTATATAATATATAAATCATGCTCAACTATCAAGGCCTGGCCTCGTGGTGTCCGTAGTAGGCTGCAGGATCAAAGACCGCCGGCCGATCCTCGACGACTGCGACGTTGCCACTCCAAAAGTCGCCGTGCAGCAGCGAGGGGCGCACCTCGATGTCCTCGAAGAGCCTTTGACGTATGTGGCCACAAGGTTTTTTGGAACCTAAGAACTTAAGTGGGAGAGATCTGGGATATGAGATGTTCACGAAAAATAATTTGGGGATATGGGAATATGATTTGAGATAGTTTTTAGAGATATATTTCACCTAGTTGATATGATATTTGGCTGTGAAACCCATTTTTTGCAGTTTCCAAAAGGATGTCCACAGTGCTGCACGACTTGTTTGCCACCACTTTGAACTTTCAGGAAAAGAAACAAAAGGGAAATTCTACATCAAAGGTGATTTAATGAACTTCATAGTGATTTAATGGGATTTATACAATGGTGATTTAATGGGATTTGATGGGATTTATTGGGAATATCATGGTGTCATTTATGGTGAATATCATGGGGACTAAGTTAAATGAATAGTGTTTTTTTTCGCAGATGTCACCACCAAGGTTTTGGCTCCAGCAGGGTTTTGGACTAGTTTAAGGGTCCCCTGTTGGTTGCTTCACCTTAGCGGGTTTTGCTGTGACCCGCGGGTTGCTCGTCGCGACCTTACTGACTGCAGCGTGTTTTGGCGAGTTCTGGCTTTGCGGCGAGCTCTGCTTTGACCTCACCCTTGTGTATGTCTTGGGCCTTGTTCTTCCTCGTGCTTGGGTCGATCCTGCTGAAGGGAGACAAGGACTTTCTCTTCACTGAGCACGCCATTGAATTTGACCAGCTTGTGACATTGCACTACGGCGACTGCCTCATTGCGGAGATCCCAGCGCCGGCAGCGAGCTCAAGCCAGGCTTCGGTGGCACTTACACGTCAAGGGCTTCCGCCGATTGAATCAGCAGGGCCTTTTGCACATTTGGAAAGTGCTCCAAAATCACCATTCAAGAGATCCCAAGTTTTTGCGCAAGGTTCAATCAGCAATGGCAGCAGCAAAAGCAGCACCGTGGAAATGTGGAGATTGTCGCCGCATGGTCAAGGGCACCGTCATGTATTGCCCGGGATGCGGTCAATGGTGGGAGAATTGCATAGACTCCTCCTATCCAGAGGCAACTTCAACATCTACGCACAGGAATCAGACCTATACCAACGCCTCTTGGGAGGATTGGCAAAGCTGGGGACGCAATGCATCACAAAGTCCTCGACGCCGCCAACAACGCCCTCAATCCCGTCGTGGCAAGGGCAACCAAGGACGTTCAGGGAAGGGCAAGGGCAAAGGCGAGATGAGAGGGTCTCAGAAGGGATTTATGGGACAGGAAGGCATGGCGCCTCTGCCACCGCCACCCATCCCACCTTACATGAGTACCATGGATACTGCTTGGATGCAACCGCCTCCACCCTACAACGATGGCAAGACATCGGTGGCTCCGGACACTGCCTCACAGGCAGAATCCAAACTACGGCAAGTCTTGGCCACCCTCAAGAAGAACGAGACGGAACTACCTCCGGATGTGGCACAGATGCTCAAGGACACCTCAGTGAAAGATGGCAAAATGAAGATCAAAGGGATGCACGAAGCAGTGGAAGTCCTAGGGAAGGCACATGCGGCGTTAGAACATGCCTGCCACGAAAGGGCGCAGAACTTAGCCACATGGCGCCAATTCTTGCATCAATCTGTCCAGAGATGGCAGGAATACACAGAGCGCTTTCAACACCAAGAGCGAGTGAATCTTGGAGCCATTGGGCAAGCACGAGAGGAGCTCAAGCAAGCGCAACAGGTCTTCAAGGAGCTTCAAGATCAAGGCATCATTGCCATCGATGCCGAGGACGATCCTGCCGCCATGGACAGCGAGATGGTGAAAGAGGAGAGTTCCATGAAGATTCAAGTAGGCCTCCAACATCTGACAAAATCGTTGCAGGATTTTGCGCAGCAGGCCGATCAAGAACATGCCGAAGAACAGGAGCAGATGAAAAAGCGCCCACGAAAAGAGGAGGCGCTAGCGCCCCCAGCAGACGCGCCTATGGGAGGAGCACCTGCCTCTACGTCTGCGGCGTTGCCATCCATGCAGCCTTTTGGCAAGGCTCACGGTCAGTGACATCATTGTACGATTGTGGGAAGCCTGCATGGTCGCATGAGTGCTATGCTCCTGGATTGGGGCTCCAGCATTCTATTCATGGTGAAGTTGATTTTGTTTCACAGCTTGAAGCCCGAGAAAGTGCGGTAGCCCTCGAGTTTGAGCTCGGCAACCAACCAGTTCAGGGGAACTGGCCATGCCAATCTGTGGCTTCCCTACCTTGTCACGACAGTTTTCAGGTTGGTGAAGTTCCACAGCGACCTCCTCGTCCTGTGCATTTTGCAGAGGAAGTCCAAATCCTTTTTGGCCCGGACACCACATTGAAGATGTTGGAGCTACAGTCTCATCATGATGCTCTTCATTCTTGGCGTGGTAAACCGTGGGGCAAATTCATCCGACCCTGGGTTTGGGCGCGTGATGCATATGAAAAGATACATTCTCTTTCGACCTTGGTGTGGAGATGCCAGGAACCGCAGTCCGAAGTGGCCGTGTTGATCCGGCAGAACCCACAGCCTTTGCACAAACAGAATCGGCTGACGGATGCTTGGCACAGCCCGTTGCCGCCAGAGATCCCAGGAGGAGGGGATCAACAAGAGGAAGATCCAGATGTTATTCCAGATCCTACCTTGGCACCTGATTTTGTGCATGATGTCTTTGAGCTGGCTGACGCACATCGAGCATTCACCAATTTGGACAGTGATGGTGCGATGCGAATCAGATCCTGGTATGTGCATCATGTTGACCTGCGAAGCAATCTTCATCCTCGGTTTCTTGAATTTGACGAAGATTGGCGCCATTGGGAACGAGATTTGATGGGGGCATGGCGGGATATGATTCAACCGAATCAAGAAGTCCGCATTCATGTTGTCAAACCTGACCCATATAGGGGCTATCTTGCCCGTGAAGTGCATGCTGACATTATTGTGTCACAAGGTACATGGACGCATCGTATGCCTGCATTGATCACAGTTCACAGAAATTTGAGGACCACGCCGCCCACATCTTTTGCGCTTGCGAGTTCGCTGGCACGGCAAGTTGGAGGAGTGGCGATAGCATCAGCCGCAGATGTTCTACATAGCTGTAACCATCCAGACATCACATGCACCTTCACGCACTCATGGGCAACCATTCCATTTACCTTGGCGCCGATTTTTGAAGTTCATGCAGGCGATTCTCTCACAATTTTGATTGTCAATGCGCGTCCTGAACCATGTAGAGCGGCAGCAGCAGGCTCATCAGGGGAGGGCCAATGGCTACTCGCTCCAGCAGCTGCCCCCCCTCACCGACCAGAGCCAGCTGAAGACTGTCCAGACGCACATGAACGTGAGTTGTCGGATCCGTCTGGTGGAGCAGGTGGTGGGGATGATGACGATGACATGAGCAGTTTGCACAGTGGAGATCTTAGCATGTTGGTGTATCGTCTGGCTGCACCTGATGTACATTGTTTTGTACAAGGAAGTTCTTACATGTCCATTTTGAGTGGAATTATTCGAGCAAGCGGCATGCCGAGACGAGAGGCTAGGTGTTTCCACTACCTTGCTGTGACGCCAGTCGGAGTTCATGCTGCCTCCGAAGAAGCAGTTATCTTGCAAGCAGTTCAAGATGTTCCATTTGGCTCTGATGACCGTTTGATATTGGTCGATGTTGAAATTCATTTTCATCCTTTGCCTAGCGGACTGCTTGTTCCAACTGCCACCAGCCGCCGTGTTGTCAGAATTCACCCCCAAATTCATCGTGAACAGCTACTTCTTTTGGCAGGGTTGTATGAGTACTGCCAACTTGAAGCTGACACATGTGTGGTTTATGAAAACCATGTCCCTTGGTTGGCGCAAGATACCAGAGTTCATGACATGGAGCATGGCAAATACATTCGTATTATTGTGCCACCCCCACAAGATCCAGCATTGGACACGGAAGTCGCCATTGGCATTGCACGGGATCTCATGGATGAAGATCATATCAGGCCTCCAGGATGTCGAAGAGCATTAGCATTCTTTCAGCAGCAAGCCACTATGAGCTCAAGGCCTGAGCCCCTTCAACTCAAGACAGATCCACATCATGACACCTTGCCTATTGGGACTGTCGATGACCGTGGTGATCGACCAAGGGCACAGCGGCATTTTTCCCGCGACAGGACCCGTCTGGCTCATGAACAGCGACAGCTCTTGAGGGCTGCATTGCGACATGGAGATCTGATTGAATGTGAAGAGGAAGGGCCAGTGATCTATCTCACTACCTGGTATTTGCGGCCGGAGAGTCATGTTGTTTGCTATGAAGGGCGGAGTGTTCGTTTGACTGCTGATGAGGAGTTTTGGACGGACGACATTGTTGCGTCTTGGGCTGATCATGTGGCTCCGGAAGAACCTCTGACTTTGCGAGTTGTGCAGCCAGTTCCACCATGCAGCGTCTTTGAATGTGTGCAGGCGCATGTCATCTTAGATCAAGGGTTGCATCCTCCACTGGTCCCAATTGTAGTTAGCATACACGACCAAGGCCTTGATTCACGACGATGGCAACACCGAGCATATCTGACTGAGCCGCTACAGCATCAACTTAGCATTCTGCGGCTTGTTGAATTACAAGCCAGATGTGTGCAGATGAGATGTTCAGTCTCTTTGCGGGGATTTCCCATTGGCATTGTTGACTTCGAACCATTGGAACCGGCGGTTAACATTGAGGTGCGACTTGTTTTCTCAACCATTCCGAATTGGTTGCAGCCAGCAGACGCTGAGGGTGACACCTTTGACCTCATGCAGCGAACGCAACCTTCGTCATCAACAAACATGTTTCGATTTAATCCAAACGCCATTGAGTTCATCCCGCAGGAGCAGCAGATCCTCAGACAGCAGCCAGAATTTGTCCAAGATCTACATGCACTATGGGATGAAGTGGCATGTGCCTGGGAGGATGAAGCACGAGCAGGGCGAGTGCTCAGCTGGTTTGTCGACCAAGCACGAGGCCCCCAGGTATGTAATGAGCCCAGACCTGTAGTGCTCTATGATGATCCGACGAGATGGCAAACTGAGATCCGCAGCGTGTGGGCTGACCATGTAAATGTGAATGCGCCATTGGAGTTTCACATTGTGACTCCCCAGCCACCTCAAATGGAGCCCAATATCATTGCGCATATCATTCTGATACAATCACCGGCAGCTATGATGGCGACACCTTTAGTGACCATCTTTGACCAGAGGCATCGCCGGCATCGCCTTACACGCATGGCGGTAACTGTGCATGAACACATTGAGGCCCAACACATTGTGGCTGCATGTGGGTATAGCCCATGGGGTAATGTGCCCCTCACTCCATTCCTATGTCAGGTTTGGCACGGCACCGAACCACTGTTGCCGGGCCGTCGCCATCCTGGACGTGACGCTGACGGCTTCTCTCTGTACATCACTCCGGTGCGTGCAGGAGCGGCGGGTGTTCAGATGCTGCAAACACATCTGACCATGAAGAAGAGGGTTGAGGAAGAGCGCCAAACAACTGACGTGGTGGCTCATGCGCAGTGGCCTTCCCAACCCCAACATATCAATTTCCACATGGTGCTTCATGCTTTTGACTGGTTCGACTCGCATCTCTTTTTGCCACAGTTTGACCTGCCTACGATCGTGCCGCCGCATGTTTCGACATATTGGACACATCAATGGTGGGATCAACAAGCGGCAGGGACTCAATTGCGTGTTTACTTTGATGGATCATATATCCAACACCCAGATGAAGGCTCTGCCAAAGCAGGTACAGCTATTGCAGCTTTCCTCCTTACGGCAGAGGGCTGGGTTTTTGCAGGTGCTTTGAGCAGTGCCCTACCCCGGCATGAAAGTTCCTATTTGGCTGAACTGGTCGGCGGGATCGTAGCCCACAAATTTGTGTATGACCTCCTCAAGATCCACCGGGCAGCTGTGGGCTCCTGTCCTGAGGTTACATTATGCTATGAGGCATTGACTATTGGCCACCAAGCAGCCGGAGATTGGAGCTGTGTGTCGCACCCAGTGCTTGGGCTTTGCCTTCGAAGCATAGTCCTCTTGATTGAAAACTGCTTTCACATCCAACTCCATTACCAGCATGTGCGTGGTCATACCGGGGAACCTGGTAATGAGCTCGTTGACTGCCTTGCCAATGAAGCTCGTGCTCATGGTGGACTTACACCCTTTGATGATTGGATTGACACCATCACAACGAGGGAGTGCACAAACAGAATGAGTTGGGCATGGATTCTTTTTGCGGAGGAGTTCTCTACGAAATGGAAAGATGGCTGCCTTTACCTCCCTGGACCAACCTCCCAGCCTGAAGCAGCAATTATGCCAGTATGTCAATCTCCCGCCAATGAAGCTGGACATGAAGTTGCTACATTGCATCTACGCATTTCGTCATGCAATGTGCTTACGTTGAAGGGCACCAAAGAGACTGCCACATCCATGGCTGGACTTGCCCGCCAAAAAGCAATTTTGCGGCAGTTGGATGAAGAGAAGATTACCATTTTTGCTCTCCAAGAAACTCGATTGCGCAGGCTCCATCAGGTTAGTGATGACGACTTCTTCCTGTTGAAAGCAGCTGCTGACGCCAGTGGTCAAGGAGGCATTATGGTTGGAGTTTCTCGTACTCGTCCTTATGCCATGGTGAGACAAACGAGCTCTGACAAGAGGAGTCCAGCTTTTTTCCGGGAGGATCACTTGAAAGTTGTGGCATTTGACCCTCGGTTTTTGATCATCCGGATTGCGACGCCCTATTTGCGTTGCCTGGTTGTTGCTGCTCACGCCCCTCATTCAGGCCAGGATTTGCAGACCATTGGGCGCTGGTGGGATCAATTGCATGAAGCAGTACCAACTTCTTTGCGACAGTGGCCTGTCATTCTGCTAGCAGATGCCAATGCAGTGGTGGGCATGAACACTTCCCAACATATTGGAGACTATCAGGCCACCAAGGAGGATGTGAAAGCGGAGCCTTTCGAAGGTTATGTTTCCAAGAATGGGTTGTGGTTGCCAGCGACATTTGAGTCTTGTCAATGTGGAGAAGGTGCAACCTGGACGCATTCTACAGGAAACACCAAACGCATTGACTATGTTGGAGTACCGCTACATTGGAACTACTCGTCTTGCATGGCTTGGGTCAGTGAGATTGTTGACCCCACTATGCTGAGGGCTGATCATGCTGCAGTCTGTGTTGAAGCCAGGTTTGAGCTGGCACGACCAGTCAGTGGATTTACAGCCGATCGGCATGCGGCGCAGCGCATTCATGTTGAGCCCGCTCAGCTGAATTGGCAAGGGTTGGAAGTTCCTGCAACATGCAGCTTTGAGTTGGACATCCACTCGCATTATCAACAGCTACAAGATGCCCTGATTGACCATTTGAAGCCTCAACAAGTTGAGAATCAACGTAAACCGTTGAAGACCACCATTTCCGAGTCAACATGGACGCTTGTGTGCGAGAAGCGGCAATGGCGCTCTACGCTGGCAGACCATGCTCGTGTTCAGAAGAAGACCATCCTTGAGATGTATTTTGGGCGGTGGAAGCATCGTAATCATGATGACCATGCAGGTTTCCATGAACTTCTTGGGCAGCAAGACCGCCTGATCGCTCATGCGTGGCTTCAGTTTCGGCAATATGGTCGGCTTGTGACGCAGGCCCTCAGGCACGATGACAAGACCTTCTTTGCGAACCTTTTGCAAGACGGTGCTGAGTTTTTGGAGCCCAAAGATGTGAAGAAATTATGGGCAGTCATTCGAAGGTCTCTGCCGAAATTCAGAAACCGACGGGTTGGCTACAGTCCTTACAAGCTAGCCCATTTAGAAGAACAGAGCGCTCGCCACTTCGAGCAACTGGAAATTGGAATACCAGCCTCAGCGGCAGGTCTGGTTGCCAAATGTGTGCAAGACCAAGCCCGGGCTGCCCACCAGGATTTGCCGGCTTGTGTCTCCATTGAAAGTTTGCCAACCCTTCCAGAAGTTGAAGATGCACTACGTGCGACCTGTGCAGACCGTGCCACTGGTTTTGACGCAGTTCCATCGGGCGTGTATCACCGGCACGCCGCCTTCCTTGGGCGCTACTTTTACCAGGTCGTGCTCAAAATGTTTGTTTGGGGAACCGAACCGGTACAAGGGAAGGGAGGATTTCTCAAGATGATTCCAAAAAAATTGGGTGCCGTTGAAGCGAAGCATTTTCGTGGCATTCTCCTCCTGCCCACGCTTGCCAAAAGAGTCCACGCCATAGCACGTGCTCGCTTGATGCGACAGGCCAGTGCTCAGCGCGATCCTGCGCAACTTGGTGGCTTTGCCGGGCAGCAAGTCTCTTTTGGCTCGCAGTCTCTACGTGCACTTACCAATGTCTTCACTGCCAAAAGTATGAGTTCGGCCATTCTCTATGTCGATTTGGCGACAGCGTTTCATCATTTGGTTAGACAGCTTGTCACGGGCATTGGGTCACCAGCGGATTGGGATGTTGTTCTTATGAGTTTGGCCTCAGCTAAGTCACCAGCTGCAGCAAAAGAGGTTGGGGATCAGCTGATTGGAGTCATGGATAAGCTCCACATTGACCCTGTGCTGATGCGGCTCCTGCGTGACATTCATGAGAGCACATGGTACTCTTTGTCGGGTTGCGATCTTGTTCACACCTTTCGAGGCACTAGGCCTGGCTCACCCTTGGCGGACGCCATTTTTCATTTATTGATGGCCGAGGTGGCGACAGATCTGAGAGTGTGGATTAGCCAGCACCCAGAGCTTGCGACAGTTTTCCAACAACTTGGGGTTGATCCCATTTTCGTCATTTGGTCAGATGATTTTGCTATTCCTGTTGCTTCGCCGTCTGCCCTGACGTTGATTGATTTGGTTGCAGAACTCACCCAAAAGGTCCATGAGCTGTTTACTGCGCGTGGTTTCACGATCAACTTTGACAAGGGGAAGACGAGCGCAGTGCTCACCTTTGTTGGCCCGCATGCACCTGAAATGAGGAAACTGCATTTACTAGGTGATCAGAAAGGGATGCAGATTGTTTTGGCAGATGGTCAGACGGCTTGGCTTCATTTCATGGTGACGTACAAGCATTTGGGAACCCTTTTTGCCTCAAGCCATTCATTTGAGCCGGAACTGCGACAGCGGATTGGCACAGCCCAAGCTGCCTTTCAGACGGTCTTCCGGGCTGTGCTAGGCAATCGGCATTATCCATTGACTTTGCGCTTGCGATTTTTTCAGTCTCTGGTGTGCTCTAAACTCTTCTTTGGGATTGGAGCATGGGCTACGCCCACACTCCAGCAGATGGACAAACTGCGCAAAGTGTACCACACCATGCTGAGGAAGATCTATAAACACTCAGATGAGGAACACCTTAGCAATGCGCAGCTTCTCCATGCCACGCAAGCCTTGGATGTCAGAGTACGCTTGGCTATTGATCGACTTTCCTATGCCCAAAGGCTATTTCAGGTTGGCCCTGAGTTTCTTCAGCAGTTGGTTCACCTGGAGTTTCAGCATTGTAAGGACTCCTCATGGTTGACAGGGCTCTATGCGGATTTGAGCTGGTTGCGGCAAACCCTCCCCAATGACCTGCCATTTGATGACCGTGAAGATCTGACTCAGCTCATTGATTATTGGCAAGCAGGCCCTCAGCAGTGGAAGCGTTCATTGCGGAAGGCAGTGCGTCGACATCGACTGCAAGAGGAGATCATGCTGGATGCCAAATGCTTTCATCGTTGCATTTTCAATGGATTGAAGGCAGGAGGGGCTTCTTTCATACCTGACTTCAATGGACTTTTTGCTGCAGAACGACATGAACTACATGTATGTGAATGTGGACGCGCCTTTACGTCGAGCCAAGGCCTTGCCCTACACAAGCGGAAGAGCCATGGACTCCATGCGCAGGAGCACGAGTTCGTCACGGGGGCCACTTGTCCAGCATGTCTTCGATACTTTTGGACAAGCAATCGGCTGGCCCTACACCTGGCGTACATGCCAAGAGGCGGTGGGGTAAATGAGTGTTTTAATGCACTAACCAAGGCTCAGTTTGTAGGAGGGTTCCAATCACAAACCTTGCCTAGCACACATGCTCATGCCGTGCGCCTGGATGCTCTCCAAGCGGAAGGGCCGCCCATGCCCATGGACGATGCACGTTTGCAGATGCTAGCGGCAGTGGAGGCTGAGATCGCCGAGCTGGAAGAGTTGATGCAATGCTTTGAGCGACCGGAAGGGCATCTGGAAGCTGGTTTACATTTGGGTGATGTTCTGACTGCATACACAAAGAACTGGATCCGGCAGAAGCAGCTGCATGGCGAGGTTGTGACCATGGACCTCGCCGATGGTTGGATTCGGCTCCTTGATGTGCATGGACAGGACTTTGATGAGTGGGCGGCGTTTGTTTTTCAGCAGTGGGGTGAGCACATTCTGCCTGATATCAGCGCTGGTCTGCTTGATGGTGAGATTGAATACCTCTTGGACGAGCAATTTGCTGACACGGCAGAGCTCTTCCCACGCACAGAGCGGCTGAGAAGATTGGCCCGCGCACGGGTCCGGCATGACCAGCTCTCTGCCGAGCTTCAGCAACCAGATCGTCCACACCGCCCTATCCGACTTGGCACAGCCAACGGTCGTGAACGTGTCACCACAAGACAGCGGGTGCCGAGTGCTTTCCATGAGCAAGTCCAATGGCATGACGCATTGCGCACTATGCGATGGGACTCGATGCCGAGCTGCCGCACCATCCCAACAATTTCAAGTCTTGACGCCGCAAATGATAAACCCTGCCTCCTTGTAGTTCACCTTTTTTCGGGCCGACGGCGCGAAGGAGACCTACATTGGCAGTTACAAGAACTAGCTGAAGGCCTGAAGGTCAATTTCGTGGTGCTGTCCATGGACACTGCTGTGTCGCCTTGGTATGGTGACCTTTGGCACTCCTCCACGGCATGGCGACAACTGGAGCAATGCTATGTCCACGGACTTGTGGCATTGACCATGGTTGGATCACCCTGTGAGACCTATTCAGAAGCTAGATTCACACCGCCCCCGCCGGGAGAAGCCGCCAAATGGCCGAGGCCATTGCGCTCAATGGATTGGTTTTATGGTTTGCCAGACCTTACCAACCGTGAGCTCAAGCAGGTCCACACAGGCACCAACTTTTGGCTACAAGGACTTCGAGCCCTTGGTTGTCATGTGACGCATGGGGGTCTCTTCCTGAGTGAGCACCCAGGGATGCCCAAAGACCCCGAGCGACCCACTACCTGGAGGGCCCCATTGACGGAACTTTTCCGCCAGCATCCGGACATCCATTTGAGCCACATTGGGCAGTGGCAATGGGGCGCTGAAGCGGTTAAGCCTACGGGTTTACTTGCGCACCGCCTTCCTCGTCTGCTGCAGTCCCTATATGCCTGCAGTCTTCCTGATGCAGTTCGGCCGACGACTGCAGCTATTGGTAAAGCGGCTGACGGAGAATTCCGAACATCCAGGCTCAAGGAGTACCCCACGGCTCTATCACGAGCGATTGCTGTGGCCTTTTGTGACCAACTTCGCAGTGAGATTAGCGCTGGGCACCTTGCTGAGGTCAAACCTTGGCGTTCTATTCCTAATGGGCCTGCACTGAGGGATTGGATTCAGGCAAC